TTAAGAATAACCTTTTATTCTCTGGTACCATCTGAGCAATGGCTGCATCCTCCAGACTGTGAGTGTTGGCTGTGCTTTCCAGATTCTGGGTGGAGGGCCCTTGGCCAGGGACAGCAAGTCTGCCCCCTGGGATTTCGGCAGTCCCATTCCCTTTGATCATTTGGGTGATGTCTTCACTCCCTTGGCCTCTCCTGGCTCCATTCTACTGATCCCTGAGTATGACAGACTCATCTCCATGGCCCACTTGAACAACAGTACTACACTCTGGAAACAAGATGGTGGAGATCTGACTCTTTAAAATTTAAGAGGTTTTCCCACCATTTGAATTGTGAGTGGTTGCTCTACCCTTTGAAATGAAAGCATCTCTACCTGCCAGTGTCTCTCCAACAGTTCTGTTGATCTTTGAACCAATAGATGCTTGTAAGCAAATCACTCCATTGGCCAATTTCCTGCCTGTAGAATTCCAGAAGGCAAGCAACTTTTCTTCATTTTGTTCTGCCTCTTACCTTTGTTGCTGTGGTGGTTGAATAGATTGACCAGGCTTAACCTCTTGAACAAATGATTGTGTTGTCACACTTCACCAAGTAAGAGATTTGGGGAATCAACAAACATATGAACAAATGTTCACAACCACTAGCCATTAGAGAGATGAAATCCAAAACAACAATGAGATATCATTTCATACCAGTAATAACAGCTAAGTTCAAAAAAGGAGAGGACAATAAATGCTGGTGAGGGTATGGAGAGACTGGGACCCTCCTACATTGCTGGTGGGATTGAAAAATGGTCAGACCACTCTGGAAAACAGTATGGCGCTTCCTCAGAAAGTTGGAAATAGGAATACCTTATGATCTAGCAGTCCCTCTACTTGGTATTTATCCAAAAGAAATATGAGCCATATTATAGATATATGCGCACCAATGTTCATAGTAACACTATTTATAATAACAAAAAGATGGAGACAGCCTTAGTGCCTATCAATGGGAGAATGGATAAACAAACCTTGGCATATACACACAATGGAATATTCTGCTACCTTGAAGAATAACAAGGCAGCAGCAAGCTACTGCTGCATAACATGGATGAACCTTGAGGACATTATGTTGAGTGAAATTAGTCAGTCACAAAAGGAGAAATACTGCATAGGACCATTATTGTAAAAACTTAAGAAAAAATACCCATACTAAAAGGGGGGAGGGAAAAAGAAAAATTGTTTATTGGTTCCCGGGGTATAGGGTATGCGTATGGGAGGCAGAGGAAAGTAGAGCACAGGGTAGGGAATAGATACATGGTAGTTTGGGTGCTGGGTGGTGGTGGTGGTGGCAAAACACAAGAAGGGGGAGGAGAATGGAAGAGCAAGACAGATGGGAGAACATTTAGTTAGGTTTGCATGGGCTAAGTGGGGCAGAGGTAAATAATGTATGCACAACAGGAACAACAGGGCTCTGGGATACAGGGATTGAGGCATGGTTTGAAGCAGTAAAAGAGGGTAAATAATGCTAAGATGCTTAACTTTCTTATGAATTTTATTTTCCCTTGCCTACTATTGTAAAATAGATACTTGAGGGGGAGAGAAAGGAATAGCCAGAAACATCACTATAGAAAGCTTGTAAGTCTATCTTCAGTCTATAACTGATTAGAATACCTAATCTGGGGCTAGAACTTGCCCTATGAAAAAGACTTCCTGCAGAGCCTTTGCATTGCATAAGACCTTAGGTGGTATCCTGATCCCTATCCAGAATCTTCTGAGGTGGAAAATTTCCACTTGAAAAGACAAGCAGACCAGCCTAGAGCAACTAGAGGAACAGAAGATACTTCTTTAAAGAAAGACCATCAGGAAAAATAAAAAACAATAATGGCAGTCAGATTGACTACTACAAGAAGCAAGTTGTTTACTGGGGAGCCATCAAGGCAAGCAATGAAGTCCCCTCAGGGAAAACCCCCTTCCAAGACTGAAATTCAAAGGAAATACACAAGCAGGCATGTGATCTTGCTGGTGACCACATTGGTCTACCAATAAGGGGAAGTGGGGGAAAAACAACAATGAAGTTGTGAGCTATGTCTGACCACATTCAATAGACTCCTGTCAACCTGGTTGGCCAGCAATATAGTGAGACCTGGGGACTGCTGAGCTCATGGACAGGGACATAGTCACAGAGGACTACAGCAGAGAGTGAAGCATCCTGTTGATATGAAGTGAGGGGTGATGCACAAGAATACCCATACTTGCAGATAGTGCTCATTTGACCTAACTTCAACGGCTGGATGACCAGAACTCGACTAGAGGAGAAAGAAGAGGGAAAAATGTGGAATGTGCAACAATTTGATGAACTTGACTTATATTTATGGATGTAGTAGCTTAAAAGAGGGGATGAATCTTTACAGCAAGGATCATTCCCACCCCCTCTGTACACAGGGTTGACAGGGATGGGCAACTTAGACATTGGCTATCTAAAATGGGGGTGGGGTGGGGGAGGAAACAAAAGCAAGAAGTGACTGGCTTACAAGTTTTCAAGAAGGAGCTTAGTTTCAGAGGATGCAGAGGAAGGTAGAATCTCCACTGAGTGGTTTCCAATTTGTCTAGACGGAGCTGATAATTAATATGAGATGTGGATGACTCTTGTGGTTCAATAGTGAATAATTGATATCAGAGCTGATTATGAATTTTACAAATGTAAAGGTAGATGTTTTGTAACAAAAGGAGGTGAGCGGTTGATCTTGCAGTCCAGTAATGGAGGGCCCGGGACCATCAAGGGAGAAGAGTGGAGTGTGGGACCCTATCCAGAGAGCAGAGAAAGAGGAAGATTCGATGCCAGAGCCAGAGCCAGAGATGGAGCAGCTAGGGAAAGGGTCTGTGTGCTGATGGCTGAGGGGCTGGCATGCAGGGTATACACTTTGGTTGTTTTAATGGTTATATATTCCTGAGTGCTTTGGTGTACATCCAACAACAACAACAACAACAACAACAACAACAACAACAAACAACAACAGAGGGATTGGATGTTGATGATGCATGGACGGGATTGTAATCATTACAATGAAATGAAATATGATAGGATGAATGTAAAGCTGATGCTCTCCCATGTAAACTATCACTCAATTCACAATAAAAACTTAAAAAAAAAAAAAAATTGTTGTCATCTCCTTGATGAGAACTCTAGGACATGTGTCCTTAGTATATACATCAGAACTGTCCAAATATTTTCAGTCTTGTTTTAATCATCAGATGTTTAAGTCCATCTCTTTCCTCTTACATCTACTATCAGCAACAAGGAGAAGCTATGTATCCCCTTTAAGATTTTCCTTAGAAACCACCTTATCCAAGTATCCAAATTCATCACTGACAAGTACTACCTCCCACCAAATATTCAATCATAATTCATATAAATTCTTTGTCATTGCATAAAAAGAATTTCACTTTCAGTGTCTAGTAACATGTTCATCATTTTCTTTAAAATTCTCATCAGAAGCACTTTCATTGTCCACATTCCTAGTAACATTCTTTTTATGGAAATAGTAGCTTTCATCATAGATCTTAATTCTTTCTGAGCCTTCATCAGAATCTGGCAGCATAGTGGTTACGAGTTTGGTTGCCAATCTCAGGGTCAGAAGTCGGAAACTACCATGGAGAAAGATAAGACTTTCTGCTCCCATAAAGATTTAGACCCTCAGTAATCATACACAGAGTCATTATGAGTTGGAACTGACTCCATGGCACATAACCAACTACCATAATTCTATCAACCACAATTGATGACCATAATTCTACCAACAGTTTCTTCAAAGCAAACTAGAGCCTTACTATGAAACACACCAAAATATCCACTGCCCAATTTTAAAGCCATTTCCACATTTTAGTTATTTGTTAGAGTAGCATTTCAATTCTGTCTTAGTTTCTTAGTACTGCTGAAGCAGAAATTGATGGATTTTAACAGTTTTTCTCACAGTTTGTTGCTGTTGTTAAGTGTTGTCAAGTTGGTTCTGACTCATAGTGATCCTATTTAGGGTTTCTGAGGAGTAGCAGGTAAGATCAAACCACTGACCTTGCAGTTCAAACTGACTCTGTGGTCCAGTGCCTTAATCCACACCAGCGCTCTTTTCTGATGGTTTAAGACACTATAATTCTGAATTCAAGGCTTTCTTTCTGTTTTCACCATACACTCTTCTTGTCACCTGATCTCTAGATCTTGAATCTGCAAAAGTATCTGACCTTCTATATGAGCTGTAGATTTTTGATTTTCCAATTCACACAACCACATGAGCCAACAGAGGTTTCCACCCTACTGCCTGACATACAGATATGGGACTTGCCAGCCCCCACAATTGTATGAGTCATTTTATTGAAATAAAACTTGATCCATCAATCTATCAATCTACCAATCTATCACTGTTTTTGCTCCTCTAAAAAACCTAACTAAGACAGGTACATATCTATATTCTTTTGAGTGAAATCTTATCTTTATTTATATTACCAGTACACAATGCCCAGCAAATGCTCAATAACAGGTTCCAAATGAGTGAATGATGGGAACATTTTATGGCACATTATTTTCCCATTTAGTGTATCTCAAATGTCTCACATTTCATTCTGGGTATATTAAGAGACTCAATGGAGATCAGGGATATAACCAGGCCATGACTAACTGAGGTCCTATCCTTTTAGTGCAAAATGGACAACTATATTTCTGGACTAGCCTAGACACATTTGCTTTCAATTCTGGGAAAACCAAAATGAGAAAGTATTGCAATTTATTTAATTCAAGTTGTTGCTGTTAACTGTCATTTGTTATGACTTATAGCTACCCTATAGAGGGTTTCCAAAGAATGATCGGTAAGTTTGAACCACCAAACTTGTAGTTCAAACCAACTTTGTGGTTTAGTGCTTTATCCCACAGCATCACACCAAGACTCCATGTTATGTTTCCATAAATAGACCACAATTGTCCCAAATAAAAAATGCCTCTTCTCATTAACTGGAAGGCTGTTAGCTCACACCTTACCTTTTCATTGTCTTTGGGGAAAATTCTCTCTCCAAATTAGAAGATGTATGTTTCACATGCATTGCATTATAGGAAGTGTGAGTATAGTCATTTTCATCACTGTAATCAGGACCAAGCAATGTCCGAGCCCATGTCCCCATGTCATAAGGAGGAAGGGTTCCTCCAAATTCAGAGGGCAAAAATTCAGGGTGTATTAACTGATGAAGGCTGTTTAAATTGTTTCCATGCAGGAAAATCTGGAAAGAAAGGAAAATCAGCAATAAAGAATCTGAATCAGATGACCTGGAATTTAACCTACCCACTTTGGCAATGAAAAATTGAATGCACTGCTGGTGATCATAACGGGGCATCCACTTCTGTTTTCTGTGACTATGTCTTAATAATGTGTTAATTTATTTCTCAGAAAAGGGACTGAATAATCCTTAAAAATGAAGTTTATGAACAAATTGGGTGTTGTTTGATCACGGCTGAAATTTATACATATAGTCATCCAATTATCTTTGCTATTGAGAAGAGTAGTGATGCAGACTACCCAAAACATCAGTCATGTTTGTCTTGCAGCTCTCAGCCAGCCTCTGTTCTCCCACCTACAGGGCGTATCCATCATCTGCACCTCCTAAATTTTCTGCAATTTCTTCCTTAGTCTACAACAGTGACATGTACTCCTTGCTCTGTGCCAATGAATTGTTCATGATCTGCTGATTTTTTTTTTTCCTGGCTTATTCCTTTATGTCTTGCTTCCCTATAGGGACAGAATAACTCTTAGGGCAAAGGATACTGCTTCTCAGCTCTGGGGGTGGTATGGGTGCAACTAAGGAACTCAATCAATTCTTAGTCAATGAAATAGAAAAGTTTTGATAACAAAAACTGAAAACTGATCATTTATTATGGGATAATTTTGCTTCAGTTCTCAGGGGAGAATTGCAGCAAAGTTGCAGTTGCTTTCAGACAAATCTACAAAACAGATAAGCCCCAATTTAGAAACTGATTTTTGAAAGTTTATTTAAAGTGTATCTCTTGGCATACTTCTTTATGTTACAGGCTCAATACACATAAGTTACACCCAAGTATAAGGTGACAATCAATACATGAAAAGTGCCACCTTGCCATTTCCCACCCTCCACTCACCATAGATAATGATGATGAAATATAAATGTGATTTAAAAATACATAAATTTAGAGCTTCAATAATAAATACTTGCTACCATGTTCCCTAGTTACTGGGTTTACATGACATCATTTAAAGACAAAGGGAACAAAAATCTTAGTGGTAAAATTTCCAGAAGAATATTACAACACTTCAGGAAAATGTACATTTTTAAACACTAGATTTATGTCTGATTGAATTTGAATAAGACCAATTTTTCTTTTTTTGTCTCTTGGTGTGGGACTGTTGGATAAATACTGGACTGCAAACCAGCTGGTCTTTGGAAAACCTGTTTAGAATTGCTATCAGTCAGAATCAACTTGATGCTAACGACAACAATTTCTTTTTAAGAAATTGACTTGTTCAGACTTTTGTCAAAACACCTTAGGAGGAGACTGAAACAAGTATTTGGAAACAGGGAAAAGCTGGAGCTAACTATTAGCCCTCATGTTTACAGAAAAATTTTGTACTCATCGACCCAATATTTTAGGTTCTTAAAGGTTGCAAAAGGCTGTTGTTTCTGGTCCTCATATCTGGGATTCCTGCTAAATAGTCAAAGAAATGCAAGACAGATTCAGGACTGCTCAGATTCGGTTTTGTGTCCAGGACTCCAGAAACCCCTTTTAAAGTATACGAGCAAGTGTCCATTGCCCTGTGGGAGGAATTCCTTGTGTTCCTTCCTAAGTAGACTGTGAAACTTAAGTGGAAAGCTTAAGTCATACTGGGAACACTCTAAGATTCTTCTTGGCTCATGGTTTCAGTCCCATATGGATTGAGTTTTAGTTCCTAGTTTCACACTCATTTGAGAAGTGGCTGTCACCTCCCATACTGTGGTATAGCAGTCCACAGGTGGTACAAACAGATAAAGAACTTGGCTGCTAACCAAAAGAATGGAGGCTAGAGTCTCCCAAAGGCAGTTTAGAAGAGACTTGTGGATCTAATTCTGAAAACTCAGCCATTGCAAAGCCTATGGAGCAGAGTTCACTCTGTCACAATTGGGATTACCATGGGTAGCAATCAACTTGATGACAGCTGCCAATTGGTACCATACTAACAAAGACTTGGGGACACCTGCAGTCTAGAATTAGGAGTCTTGCAGTGTGTATGTGGTGGTGTTAGCTATTTCTCACCTCATCAGTGGCCCCTGAACTCCCAGAGCTCTACTCTAACATTGAGTTCTTTGCATGTTAAGTTTGTAAGAAGGTTCCTGACTGGGTTCCCTTGAAGAGAAAGGAACTAAATGGTAAAGATAAATAAAGGTCCTGAGCCTACATGAGTGATGTTACATACATAACTATATGCTTTAATAGTGTTGTTGTTAATTGACGTTGAGTTGGTTTCAACTCATAGAGGTCCTGTATAGGGTTTCCAAGGAGTGGCTGGTGAACTTGAACCACTGACCTTGCAGTTCAAAATGACCTTGCAGTCCACAGCACAACATCAGGATTCCTTAAATGACTCTAAAACCCTTGTGATGTGGGTGTTAGTTTCCCCAATTTATATATGAAGAAACTAAGATTTAGAGTGGTCAAGGAATGTTCAGTTACTCGGCTAATCAAAATGCCATAAGATAGCCCAGCTTTAATGGAAGATGCTGACTTTCCAAATAGCATCAACTGATGAAATTGAGGTTAAAAAGTTTTCTACATAAAAGCACTGTTATTTTCAATGAAGGAAGCTTTAATAGCCTAATTAGTGATGTAGTTGTCAGTTATGCCCCAAGAACATGGGATAAATTAAAGAAATTTAAAATATTCTTCATAGTGATAATACATTTACAGGACAAAATATTCCATGAACGGATGCTGCTAGACCCAGAATCTCCCACAGACATTTCCAGTAAAATGAGCATTTGATATTTGCATGCCTTCAAAGTTTTCTTTGGGTTATCATTGGGACTCTGAAAATAAACAGTTTTACTGAATTATGGATCAAAATCAGGCCAAAAACAAACTCCAGTTGAGGCTCAAATGTTCAGTGACTACAGAAAAGGAGAAAAGTCACAGTGAAAAATTAGAAGAAAGAAGAGGTAGGATAATGATCACTGAACAGTCCCTGTTTGGAATTTATATAATGCATTTGCTTTCATTACCCTTTTCCTTGTCTTGTCTTTAAGGAATGGTTTGATGAGTGTGTACAGGGCGTGAATATACCAGGGCTGGTTGACAAAATGGACTCCTCCAAAGCGAGCAGGAAAACTGTCCTGGATGGAAAGAGAAATGCAGACAATTAGGAAGCTCTTCAAGTTTAACAGAAACCAACAAAATCACAGCCCCAAAGAATAATCTGCTTCTTGTCTCTCATTGATGTACTGAAAAGTGCTGATGGTGTAGTGGTTAAATATTCAGCTAACTGAAAGTTTAGTGGTTTGAACTCACCAGTCTCTCCATGTGAGAAAGATGAGGCAGTCTGACTCCATAACAATCCATTCATGAATATCCTACAGGCCGTTCTATTCTGTCCTACAGGGACACTATGTGTCAGAATCAACTGGCTGGCAATGAGTTTGGTTACTTTTGTATATTTTAATGTGTTATTGTGAATTATGTGATACTTTACATGGGAGAACATTAGTTTTACATTCATCCTATCATATATCGTTTCATTGCTATGGTTACAATCCCCCCC